CCCAGGGAAGTGGTTGAGTCACCATCCCTGGAGGTATTTAAAAGACGTGTAGATGTGGTGCTTAGAGACATGGTTTAGTGGTGGACTTGGCAGTGTTAGGTTTATGGTTGGACTTAATGACCTTAAAGGTCTTTTCCAACCTAAATGACTCTATGATTCTATGATTCTCCCATGCCGTTGGCTTTGTAGGGTGTGTGTCTGGAGGGGGTTTTCCATGTAAAGTGGGGTAGAAGATGGAAACATCAAGCGTAGCAGCTTTCCTTTCAGTTCTGACTCACACAAGGTCATAACGTGACTTCAGATCCCCACTAGAGCATTTTAGCCTCTCTTTTGGCTAAAAGTGGAAACAAACCCCAGAGCGTCACAACAAGCACACAAATTCCTTCTCCTCAGTATGTCCATCAGGAGGATGGCACAAACCCAGGCAGCGGGTCGGGAAGGCGGTCATGTCCTGCTGAGCCCTGCGGACTTGAGAAACATCAGCTGCTGCTTTGTCACCTTGAAATCATCTGTTTGTAGTTTCCATGGGCTGTCCTCTAAATAGCGCACGGGCCCAGCGGGGAGGACCAGGACAGCCGCGTGCTGCAGGGTGGGAGGACAGACGCTCGTCCTCCCGCATCCCTCTGGCTGGGGAGGGCTTGGTGCAAGTCCCCATCCTCCATACCTGTCTTTGGCTTAGTTTATTATGTCTTTAAATCTTGTCCTCTGCACCCATGGCTCGTGCTGGCCGTGATGCCCTTCCTCTTTCATTGCTCCCTGCCAGCCCTGCCTTTGGGACGTCCCATGGGCAGTCACCCTGGTCCTTTTTATTCTTTCTGTGCCAACATCTGCCCAGAAGGATGCTGTGAAGGCTGGTTTCACGGCATACAACCCTGCACCTTCTGGGCCAGGAGTTCCTTCTGCCTGGAAGCAGCTCTTCTGGAAACCTTCACTGTCTCTGTTGCCTCCCATGTTTCATATAACACCTTGCACTGTGAGGTCTGGTCCAGTTTTGGGTGCTTAGGAACTACATACGTGCTGGAATTAAATCCTTCTACTGGAGGAGGAAGAGTGATAAAATAAAGAGCTTAGTGCACATTTCTGATTGATGCTCCCAATGTTTCCCCTGGCACTTCTGCCTGGTGCAGCGAGCCCAAGCGTCCCAGGCAGCAGAGCAGGACGCAGGAGCCTTCGGGTCCCCTCTGACACGCAGCGATGGGTCTGACCGCTCCGTCCTGCCTGGGCTTGCAGCAACCGACAGTTGTTCTCCACATCCATTTTTATTTCCTTTGAAACCGGGGATAGGAAGTCAAGTTAGGACGTTCCTGTGTTTTGCAACTGTCATGAAGACTGACTTCAGTGCAAGCATGTTTCCTTTTTCACAGACCCGATTAGCAAAGACTTGACGCAAACTGGGAACTGCTTGTGGGTTTATCAGTAATAAGCCCATTTTGGAGGGACGTTTGTGCTTTGTAAAGAAGCAGAAACTGTTTCGGTTTCTGCTTAGGCCCTGCTCCACCATCCTCTCTTCCCGTGCGTGCCACGGACGGAGCAAAGCTGATCTGGGATACCTGGGGATTTCCTGCAGGTCCCACTCCATCAGATCTCCGCTTCACTTCTTGCTTTCTGACCAATGACATTCAAGTCCTTGACTTTTTAGGGAAGTCCACATAATTAAATCCTTCATTTATCACAAATACCAGCCCTGTTCCTCCTCATTTTTTGCACCAGGTACGAACTCCCGAGAAATGCCCCCTTCTGCTGCCCACACTTTCACACCAGTTCTCTGCGTACTCTCATCCTGGCTTCGAACCATTTCCTGAATCTCTCCGTCCTGCCATTATTCCTCTTCAAGCTTCTTAATAACTGTTTGTGGCTTTTGCTTCCTTTCGCTGAGTTTTGTATCTGCTCCTCCCATTGCTTCCTTTCTGCAGCCCGTTTCCCTATATTTTTTGCTCCCATATGTGCTGTTCTATGCAACACCGACTGGTCCTCTTTGCAGAAGACGACAGGTAGCACCTTCTGCTCAGCTCCCCGCATCCGCTTCAGGCTTCTTCCAGAGAAGGAGCTCATGGTCAGAGCATCTCTTCGTATTATCATAGCACTTAGGAGCCCTGCTCTTGGCCCAGGTCTCCAGGGTGGTAAATCCTCAACAGTCATAGGGCAAAAATCCGTTTTTTGTCCTAAGGTGCTTCCCAGCATGGGTATGAGGAAAGAATGGGGTAGAGTTAGTCAACCTTCGTCCTAGCCCACCTACGTCATTGCTGCATGTAGATTGCTTTTTTTTTTTTTAATAAGCATCAGTACAATATATGTTTTTAAGAAGTAATTCGAAGGAAAACACTGATCCTTCAGAAGTCTATGGGAAGTGTGAGTGGCACTGCGGGGCTGAGAGCCCTGGGTTGGAAGATGAGCCCTGGGTTGGAAGATGGGACTTGGCCCTGTGAGTGGTGGAGGCAGGACCTCTCCATGGCTGCGACGTTTTGTGGGGAGTGAAGAAGCTAGCCCTGTGTGATGTGCTGGAGGGCATACAGCAGCGGTGGGGGAGGACCTGGTACTTAGGGAAATGACCTTTGCAGTGGTGTTTTGAATTGATGTGAGTGGGACAGGGTTGCTTTTCGCAAGGCCAAAGAGAAGGCTGTTGCAGCAGCAGCAATCGGGTGCATCCATCCATTGCTGTGGAGGCAGCAAGGGAAGCCCAGCTGAGCAATCCCGTGCAGAAAGGTCTCCTAAATTCACCTCCAGCCCAGATGCAAGCTCCTACAGCCAGATGTGAGGGTGATGCCCAGAATAGTGCAAGTCAACGCTAACCAAGATCCGTCTCCCATGTCTGCGGAAACTGGGAGGAGCAGTAGTGAGACGGGCTGTATCTAGAGACTTGGAGGGTTTTTAGTGTTTGTTTTCATTAAGTCAGAGCTGACAGCTAAGCTCTTAGGAGGAGATGCCATGTGCCCTGGGGCCAGCTGTGCTTAGGCCAGGGGGGAGCAATAGGATGTGGTAGGACTGAGCTTTTCTGTTTTCTGAAAGTCATGGAAGCGCCTTGTCCCAAATTGCCACCATTGTTCTCATTGCGGAGCCTCTCCCACCCCTGAAAGAAAAAGATCTTATTTCATAAAGAGGCAGTTGCACACTTGCTCCCAGCTGAGCCATCGCTTGTGCAAGGGCTGCTGGAGATGGCAGTGGCCGTGGACTGCACTGACGGGGATGTGACTCCTGTTCTTGTGTTCTCAGAGTACGGATCTGACAAGCACAGTTGGCTACGACAGCATCGTTCAACACCTGAATGACGGCAGGAAGAACTGCAAAGAGTTTGAAGACATTTTGAAGGAGAGGTATGGAGCCACCTCTGAAAACGGGTTGGGTTGAACCTGGGAAGTGAGGCGGTGGCACTGCTTCAGCTCCTTGTACTCCCAGTGTGGTTTACTGTTGCGTTTAACTGTCCACTACGCTAAAACACCTTTGATTTTTGACTGATGAGGAACTTGTTTACTTACACTGTCCTTTCCTTGCACAGCTGGTGCTGTGGTATGAAGTCCATGACCACGAATCCTCAGCTGCGAGGCAGCGATGGTGCCCAGGACTTGATGCTCACATTTTGAACTGTCTGTTAAAAAGAAAGAGGAATCAGGAGCAGTTTAATAGTTCAGTCTTACATGTTGCCAGACATCTGTACTGATGTGTTTGCAGCTGTTGGTGGTCTGCCCAGGCCACCCGCTCTCCCATGAAGTTCACCTTGCAGTTCAGCTTGCAGAAGGTCAGGTGAAGACCTTGGCATAGGAGAGGCATGGCTTTGTCCTGAATTTGTACATTATAGACGGCCCACAGATTTTATGTTAAAAAGAAGTAGTAGCATTAGATAGCGTGTTTATTAATCAGAGGATATGACCTAAGTAGAGGTTCTGTGGCTACAAAGGCACAACTGAGATGGTCTGGCCATGTATTTTGACTTTATGGTTCACCTGGTTAGCAATGGCTAAATACGAAGAGTGTTGTAGAACAACCCTGAATTAATGTAATTTTGGTATTGAGAACTGGAGAAAACAAACCTCTGAATACAAGACTTGGTACAAAACAGCCTGGAACAAACGCAATGGGGATGAAGAGGAGGAGAACCTGCAGTTAAAAATGTCTAATGCACCTACGTCTATCTAGGCTGTAATCCCATGTTCCAGGAAAATTTGGGCTTTCCAGCTGCCCGAGGAGCCATCCGCTGAACCCTGAGAACCGTGTCGCACTCATCCATGACAATGGAGAGAGTGCAAAAAGCCTCCTCCACACCCTGTGCCCCGTTCCTCTTTGCTGTTGAAGGAGGTGTAGGTTCCCGCCGACGTGTCTAGCCAGGAGGAGATTAGAGGCTGGACCTGGACTTGCTACTGCTCTGAACATGGCCCAGTTCTCCATGTACAGCATGGCTGTTACATGGTCCCAGCCACGGAGAACATGCCTGTTGGATTTGATGCTTTGTCTCAAAAGGAAGTTCATGGGAATATTGTTAGATAGAGGAAAAAAATGGATTTATAATCTTTATTTTTTCCATTTCCTTACAAGCTTTTGGAGTTTTTGAAGACTTATGTTAGGTGAACCCCTCTGCCAAACTCTAGAAATCGACAACATAGGCATCTGCATCTGCGTTAGAGATATTTTAGGAAGCTATTTATTTTATCCAGTAGACCTTCTAATGCAAGCCTCTAGCAGTACTTGTTTCTTTCCACTGCCTGCAGACAGCTAGGGCGGCTTGCCCAGATGGAGTTATCTACATTTGACCAAGCAAGTCCAGCCCTGGTTGTCTGTGCAGATTTCAAAGCAACTGCAGAAAGCTGGTTGTTCTTAGACTGCAACACATAGGCTTTCTTTTCCCCCCCCTCTTTCTTACAAGAGGGGAGGACAATACGATCTCTCAAAGGTGTTATTTATGTTACCTCACAAGATGTGGCCTCTTCTTCAGGTGTTCTCCCTAAGGACCAGAGGCGGGCAGGAGGCAGTACCTATTGCCTCATTTTAAAAAGTCCTGAAGAGCTGAAATGGCCCAGCTGAGCTTTGGGGTGCATGTACGGTGGCTGAGTGGTCTCTGAGGTGCCTACTCCCTTCCGTCACATTTGGTTTAAACCAGCCAAATCGGATTCAAAAGTACTTTGTGTTGATGGACCGACAGACGCTGATGGCCGAGATGCAGAAAACGTGTGATCGCGCAAGCCTTGTTCCCATTGGAAACCGAGCTAAAAACTACTCAGGTGACTCACCTGGCTGCATCTAGCCACCAGCTGCACTGGCTGCTTAGTCCTCCATCTCCTGCGGAGGTGGTCCTTGCACCCATTGGCCATGGGGAGATGGGGAGAGCAATGCATCGGGACCACAGACACAGCAAAACAAAGTGTTTTCACTGGAAGGGCTGTTGGGTAACTGCAAACAACAGTCTTGCCTTACAAGAGGGGAGGACAATACGATCTCTCAAAGGTGTTATTTATGTTACCTCACAAGATGTGGCCTCTTCTTCAGGTGTTCTCCCTAAGGACCAGAGGCGGGCAGGAGGCAGTACCTATTGCCTCATTTTAAAAAGTCCTGAAGAGCTGAAATGGCCCAGCTGAGCCATTGGTTTGGCTCAATGTTGGTTGAGCCACAGTTGGTTTGCAGCGGGTCAGAACATAGGGAGGGTGTTAAGAGCGGGTCTTGGCCTCTGCTGCAAACAAGTGTCGGTTTCTGAAGTGAGGACTTCCTCTCATTTCTCTTTCCTCAACAGGGCAATTATAGAAGAAAAATATGGCAAAGAGCTCATTAACTTGTCGAAGAAGAAGCCCTGCGGGCAGACGGAGCTGAAGTAAGTCCAGAGTCCTGTGTGTGTTTTGCTTTTATGAGTGTCCTTACTTGGAGCAACAAAGGAGGAGGAGAAGGAAGGAGGCTGTGAGAGACAAAACAGTGTTGAAATGTGATTGGGACGCTACCAGAAGATGATCTGAAATCGGTCTTGTGAATGAACGGTGCAGAGTTGGGTTGGCCTTTGCCAGTAAATGAGTTGGACTCCACCAAGTTCCCACCAGCTGTAGACTAACCAAAGCATCACAGACGCTCAGGCGAGATGTGGGCTGGCGATTCACCAGAGGGTCGAGGATCATGAGACCCTGGGTTCGCTCCTGACTGTTTTTGTGGCCAGAGGGAAGTACAGGTACTTCCTTGACTCAGACCATGCAAATCTTCAAAGCCCAGCGTGTTACCAGCCCGCAGGGGTGCTGTGGCCGCTGTGGTTGCCTCCGTGAGTGGGTCTCCATTTCCCCAGTGACCCTTGGCACCTTCTGCTTCCTGCTTTGTTTCTGTACTTTGTACATGCCTGGTCTGATGTTCTCTGATCATTTAATGACAGTTTTATATTGAGGTGTCACTTAAAATGTTTCTGAAATCTTTATTGTACAATATTAATAGGGAGAAAAGTTCCCTACATTTCCAACCACTGGCCAGTGCACCATGTAGAAGGTGTTCATATGTCCCAAATGATACTTTTAGGAGGTTGCCTGAAACATTTGTCATGAAAGTCAGGATTTTTAATAGCATCCAATGTTCAGAAAGATGTAAAGTAGATCTCAAACCAAGTGAGCTGCGATATAGTCGCCAAGAGGGAAAAAGCCGGAGGTGTAAAGAGGGTAAATAAACCTGCTTCGAGCTGCTTTGGCCAGTGTGGAGTGAGGGGCTTGCTGTCTGGTTTGGGAGAGGTGCTCGGCTGATGCCAGCACCTGGCCGTGCTTTCCCACTCTTTTTAATGCTCTGCCTGTTTTTCAGCACGCTGAAGAGATCCCTGGATGTTTTCAAGCAACGTAAGTAATTCTTCTTCGTTGTGTTTGTCAGGACACTTGGCAGCACCAAAGCCTGCAGGCAACTGCTCGGGAAGAAAGTAGCAGAGAAACCTCCAAAACAGTGTGATGCTGCTGTCAGGCATAGGCTGTCCTCCTGGCCAGGCTCATTCCAGCATGTGGGGTTCAGGATGGAGCGCTCCAGCGCACGGGTGGGAGAGGAGACCCACGGGGTGTCCCTTTGGGGATCTCTTGGGCTTTCAGGGCTCGCTGCAGCTCAGAGGTCGTGCTTGCGTTGTACATCAGAAGCTGTGCATGGGAAGCTCAGGTGGAGTTTGTTGGACTGGCTCCCCTCGCCCTCCTGGAGCATCTAAAAGATGATGCTTTGGCCACCTTATATTGTCCCTTCATTGCCACGTGTCACAGCCCGCCGGGGTACAGGCAGCCAGCATCCCTACCCTGAGGGCTAGTGCTCTGCTATCCTGTCCTGAGTGCACCCTCCACCCCAGCCAGGTTTGTCTGCTGCCCTGTACCTTGGCGGACCTCCCTAACGAGGCTCTGCCCTCGCAGCAGCCGACTGTTAATAGCTGCGGGTTTGAAACAGCTCTGGGGGGTTGAATCGTGAGCTACGGTTTGGCTTAGCTCCCTTGATAAGCTCGCTGGGGTGGTGTTTCGCGGTACGGCTGCTCACCTTCAGCAAGATGAGCCCGAGATTTTTTTCGCGTTGGTCTTTCTGTGCGCCAAGTTGGTTGTCTGCGAGCCTGGGGCAACGCTTCCTTCAGACAGCTGCTTCAGGGTGCGATGTGTTAAAACGTGCCTGAATTCGTCTGGATGAGGGGGAGAGGTGACTGTGCTTCTTTGAGTAACTGCTCTTGTTACGAGTTTTCTTAAACTGAAGGGCAGGCCCCAGCAGGACTGATCCTGCAGAGCTCCTTACATAGGCAGGGGCTGCTTGGAGGCTGCTTCAAAAGTGCTGCTGCTTTTATGTGTTTCTGCAAGGGGATGTATGATGTGGGGTCTCTGGGTCATTTTGATGTCAGCTGCAACAGTTGACTGGAGCAACAGAGTCTTTTTAAGAATATATATATATATTTTTAAAATTTTTTTTCTTTGCAGAGATAGACAATGTGGGGCAAGGTCACATCCAGCTGGCGCAAACCCTTCGGGAGGAAGCAAAGAAAATGGAGGACTTCAGGGAAAAGCAAAAACTGCATCGGAAAAAGGTCAGGCGGCACGGTAGCACGTGCCTTTGCCGCAGGGTGTTGATCCTGCCCCGGCAATGGGCTGCTCCCGGCTGGTGTCTCCCGCCGTGCCCCAGCCCCCTCCGTGCCCCCGGTGCCTGCTGCTGCCGGGAAGTCCTGAGCTCCTTCTTACGTGTTGCAACCATGCTGGCGAACTGTGCCGGCGGCCTCCAACTTCCTTCTTCTCACTGCCACGTCTTCTCCTTTGGGCAACTTTTGGGGCCAGCGATAGCAGGGGCTCAGCTCCAGGGATGTCAGCCTCAGCCAGGGGTGTTTTTAAAGCGTATATATAGTGCTGTATGATCTCCACAGCGTCTGCTAAAATCGGCAAGCTCTTTAATTTCTTCTGGCTTGAGATTCCTTTGTCTGGAAAATGAGGGAAAACTGCTAGAACCATAGGGGCTGGTTTGGACCTAGTGGAGGGGAGTGGCCTTCCCAATTTTGCCAGACCCTATGGAGATGATACGGTACTACATATTGCTAGGATTTCATGTGTAGAGCTCCTTTGCATACACAAGTGGAGGCTTAGATAGAAGCATAATAGATCGGGTTTGTGAAGATGCATTGGGTGGACGAAGGTCCTTAAACCCATCTCAATCTGGTCCATGCCTCTTCCTTTCCTAAGCCACGTAGTCTATCCTGGAGCTTCGATGGTCAGTGACGTGCTGACTCCGTGTCTGTTGTCTTCACAGATAGAGCTGATAATGGAGGCGATTCACAAAAACAGGAATTTGCAGTACAAGAAGACCATGGAGGTAAAGCAAACGGGCTTCTGTTTCTTGCCATATGGGTTAACGCTGCTAACACGCACACGCATAGTGGTGGGGCAGACTTAAATGCGAGGGTCCTCCTCCTCTGCTGCCACTCTCGACATCATGTCTGCACGAGTGGTATGCAGGGTGTGCTCAGAAAAACTGAAGAGCGTGCCAGGGACACGGCCGGTGGGAGCCTTGCAGGGTTGGATGCGAGTGATTTAGATGTCATGGACTCGATTGCCATGAGCTTTTCATCCCAAACGAAGAGCAGCTTGTCTTGTGAGGTCGGTTTTGCCCAAGCAGTAGAGCGTCCGGGACTTTGCGTGCCGTCCCCTGCTCTGCTGGCAGCCCGTGCCCACCTCTTCCCTCGTAGGCTGTGCTCTCCTCCAAAGCCTCCTGCATGAGCTGTGTTTGCATCTCATTGCTTGCTGACACACTCCTGCCCCATTTGGTGCCTCTCCTAGGCCAAGCGGCTCTACGAGCAGCGTTGCAGGGATAAGGATGAGGCGGAACAGGCTGTGCACCGCAGTGCAAACCTGGTGACGCAGAAGCAGCAGGAGAAGGTATGGAGAGGCGGGTGGCCGTGGGGCAGGGGGAGAAAGGGGTGTCTCTTCTCGCAGCTCTCCTGCCCCATGCCTCTTTTCCCAGCTCTGGGGTTTGGGGTGAGACGGGAGTGCCGGTGATGTTCCCTGATTGGGCTGCAGTGCCGTTGCTGATGCACCAGGGCTCTCCTCTACCTTTTTTCTCTCTCCCATTTTTGGCAGCTGTTCCTGAAGCTGGCTCAGACGAAATCGGCTCTGGAGGACTCTGGTGAGTGTGGAAATGCAGTGTTTGGAGGGCGAGGGGAGCGTTTCCCGGGGCAGGGGGTTGTGAAGCCATGGCATGGCTCTTGGGTGAGCTCCGGCTCTTGGGTCAGGCACGGCTCCTCAGAAACACGTGCCCAAGATATCGGAGGTGGGCACCTGCCCTGGAGAAGCCTGCGTGGCCCCATCAAGGCTGCTCCCACCGTTTCCCCGTGGCAGGACCCTCCGCCTTGCTGTGCGGCTCTGCGTTCCCTTGCAGTGCGCACCCACAGCTGAGCTCACGCATTACTGCTGCTTTCTCCCTGACGCCCCGGTCATTTCAGGCTTCACATATTACCTTCTATTGAAGGGGTTTTCTTAATTAATGTTAATCAGATGACAGTGTGATTTCTCTCGCAGACAGGAGTTACCAGCAGAGCGTTATCACACTGGAGAAGATCCGGGAAGAATGGCAGAAAGAGCACATCAAAGCTTGCGAGGTAAATGCCCCAAAACGCTTTCACGCGGCAGGGTTGTCCTCTGGACGCCCACCCCTCGCTGCAGGGGTCAAGGACAGTGCAGATTTGCCGTCTCTGTATTCCCCTGGCAGCGAAGCAGCAGGATGTGTTGCAGCTAACCCTGTGTGCGTCTCACACTTGGCTTCTGGATTCAAGGTCCCACTACTTCGAGGTTTCCACTATTTTTTTGTTTTTAAATTTTCTCCCACCGCCTTTAAAAATCGACAGAGTCAAAGTAGTGACATTTTTGCCCATTACCTGCTCGCACATTTGGTGTGGCCGTCGTCTTGAACAGCCGTGGGTCACCTCTGCATACTCGGCGACTCAAGGCCAATATGTCCTACAGCCGCAACACCACCTAGCAGAGTCTGTCTGAAACTCTGAAAGACTTTAAATGACTTTGCAGCAGAGGCCGGTGGCAGGCTGGGGATGCAGGCTGGGTGAAGCCATCTCCACGTGAACGCTGTGTGCCAGGAGCCCTTCACCTTGTATCTCACAGACCACGCGGTAGCGTGGGAACCCCTCCGAGCGATTGTATCAACCTAAAGCAGACTGCCTCGTAGCGAAGTGGTCTAGCAAGGATTTCTAGCACGTGCTGGGGAAGTCCAGAGCTGGTAGCGAGAGGACCGTGCAGCTGCTCTGCTGCTGACCTGTGTCTTGCAGCTGCCTGTGATCTGTGACCGAGGGATGGACAGGGACTGCAGAGATAGAGGTTTTATCTCAGGTCTGCTGCAAGCTTGCAAATGGCCTTCCCATTCCCAGCTACTTCTCATCAGGCCTCTATTTTACTTCTTCCTTTTGAAATGGAATCTGCTGTCTGTTTTGTGTGGTGTGTGTCGGTGTCTCAGTGTTGGTGTGCTTTTGATGTCTGGGGTCTCTGGAAGCCTCTCTGATGGTGGGACGTGGAAAGCAGTAGTTTCACTTCCACAGACGGATCACACGGAGGTTTTCCCCTCGGTGTGTTGCAAAGGTCATAACTGATAATGAGTGCATATGTACACTTGGGATGAAAAATTATCTGTCACGGAAATGTGTAAAGGCACACGAAATTGAGGTATAGCACACAGCAGATTTCAAAAGGCTTGAGTTTAAACCTGCTCGGAATAGGGCTGGGCAGGAAAGAGGGAGAAGACCAACCAGTCAATGCACCTCTGTTTTCATACATCCCCAGTGCTTTTGTATTGCTCTGTACCTGTGGGAGGGAAGTGAGCTGGGACCGCAGGACCACGGGGTGCCTAGGGAACATGCACTACCTTTAGAAGCTGGCTTCGTCTCCCCAGAGGGAGCGGTGTGCAAGGTGACCCCTTCCACATCGGTCCTGCAGATCTTCCTGAGCTTAACACTCATCTTTGAAATACCTGGTTGCGTAGAGGGATGCTTTCTCCTCTGAATGAGCTGGAGGACTCGTGGTTTCCATGTTTCCTGCAGGAGACCACCACCACCTGCGCCTCACTGAGGACAGTCATCTTTGTAGTGGCACTTCGGGATGAGAAACATTCAAGATAAAAGAGATGTGCTTTCGTTTTAAAGATGTGGTTAAACATTGGACCAGGCTGCCCAGGGAAGTGGTTGAGTCACCATCCCTGGAGGTATTTAAAAGACATGTAGATGAGGCGCTTAGGGACATGGTTTAGTGGGCATGGTGGTGTTGGGTTGACGGTTGGACTCGATGATCTTAGAGGTCTCTTCCAACCTTAATGATTCTATGTGAGGGCCATTTTGTCTGTGTCGTTACAGTTCTTTGAGACTCAGGAGTGCGAGCGGATCAACTACTTCCGCAACGCCCTCTGGCTTCATGTCAACCAGCTCTCCCAGGACTGCGTCCAGAATGATGAGGTGCGTCAACTGAAAATCTCCATTTTTCTGTTTGGAAAGCAAAGCCCAGTTTGCTTTCCTGTGCACTGAGCTGTGTTACGCCCGAGTTGGGCTGTGGCCTTTGATTGGCCACCAGACACCAGCATGAGTGTGCAGGCAGGAGGTTTTGGCCAGAGCTCTTGCAGATGAGGTTGCCTCTGGGATTCCCATGTTTTTTGAGGGTGGTGAAGCACTGGCACAGGTTGCCCAGAGAGGTGGTGGATGCCCCATCCCTGGAAACACTCAAGGTCAGGTTGGACGGGGCTCTGAGCAGCCTGATCTAGTTGAAGATGTCCCTGCTCATGGCAGGGGGGTTGGACTAGATGACCTCTAAAGGTCCCTTCCAGCCCAAACCATTCTGTGATTCTATGATTCTGTGATTCTATGATTCCGCTACCATTGAAGCTTGTGTCCCAGGTGAGCGCTGGGCTTTCATCCCATGTGTGATAAAAGATTGGAAAAAAACCTCTTGTTTTTTGACCTGATGTATAGAAATGCTTTTTCTTTCCCTTTTGCAGAAATATGAGGAAATCCGCAAGAGTTTGGAAATGTGCAGCATTGAGAAGGATATTGATTTTTTTGTAAATTTACGGAAAACTGGAAGTTTGGCCCCAGGTAAGAGCTCAGTACAATCTCACAAAGTAGTGCTGACTTCCTTGCACTCCTCATGGAGCTGCTGCTCCGATCAGCATCAGTTTGGATGCAAAGAACATTGATTTTGCAACATCCCTCCTTTCATTCACTGGCATGCAGCACTAGTCTCTGCCACTTACCACCAGCCCCTGAAGATAATCTCCCCCTTCTGTAACTTTTAATTTCCTGATCAGGTGTTTTCGCAGAGAGGGGAAGGACTCAGCAGCTGAATGTTGCTGTTGACAAGTAGTTTATGCTTATAAAAGGTCTGTACTTTACTATTGTTAACTTTTCCTAGCTCCTGTTGTTTATGAAAACTACTATAATACAGAGAGAAATGCAACTCCTGTGAGAAGTTCGGTTCCTGTACCTATATCAAGGTAAGGGACATAACATGTACAATTGGAGTTGCTATTGCAAATGATGCTTTCCCCCCCAAAAGCATAGTTTGTTGCTTTCAGTCTGTTGGAGGCTTGATTTGGCAGTATTAGAGGAGAATATTTCCCACGCTACGTAGTCCATCGCTCGCCACAGCAGGAGTTTTGCTAATGTGCTGCCTATTATAAGCTCTTCAGGGACCTCCTCAAGCCCAGTCAGGGGTTTTTGCTCCCCCTTTTGGGATCATTTCTCCCTTCTCAGGGGTGGGACTATTATTGTGGTGAGGGTGTGCTCATTTTTTCTTGTGCCAAGCCTCTTCCAAAAGTCCTTTGCATTGAGGTGAGCGGCTGTGGTACTCGGACAGCAGAAAAGCAAGGCAGTTTTGTGTCTTGCTCTCTCTGGGAACAATCTGAGCTCCCTTTTAAAGCAGCCTTTGGTACCAAAATGAAACCTTCTGGGCTTCCCTGCGTGGTTCTCCATGTGGTCTGTCTATCTGAGGAGAGATGGATCAGCTAAAAGCGTGCGTGGCTAGAGGGAGGAACAGCAGAGCCGAATTCACTCCTCTGGGACAGAAGCTGGGCAGGGAGGACAGGGTGAAGGATGCTTCTGCCGGGGGGAAGATGAGGATTCAGGGCCAAAGACTCTTGCTAAAGATGAGTGTGCCACTTTGGCTGTCACGTCAGGAGAGGAGTCATGGCCAATTACGGCTTCCTGATGTGTCACTCTGGGCAAAGGCATGTAAAAAGGCATGCCCCGAGGCCCACTTGTGAATGTTTCCCCAACTTAGTGCTTTTTGGTTATTTTTTCCTCTCGCCCACTGTATCAGCTTCAATTCCCATGTTTGCCAAGCAGGCTGTCGGTGGTGAGCCCACCATGACATGCCTTGGTACCAGGTCTCCAGAAAGCCCAGGCTGGCCAAACCTCTTGCCCTCCCACCAGCTCTGGGAGGGCAGTTGGGGAGCGCAGAGCCAGGGCAACGGGAGTCCTGTAGCCATGCAGATCCTCAGCTCTGTGTTTCCTTCTGTGCAGGAGGGGACCTCTACCCACCCCGACCAGCGCACCAGGTGAGTTACTTGCTTTATGGGGTTTCTGGCCCCACAGAGGAACTCTCTGCTCTTGCTCTTCCCCATCAGATCATGAGCTTTAGCTCTCTGAAGGGATTGCTTTAGGTGAAGCTCCTGCTCTAAGTCTGGTCCCCACTGGAAGATGCTGGGAAGTTGGGCGCTGACTTTGGAGGCAAGGTTTCACCCAGGAGAAGTTCTGACCAAAGCCCTGCGTGTAGGCATTTCTGAAGCTTAAGGATGTCTAAGCTTGGGATCCCACCCGTCTCTGCAGTTCAGGCCCTTCTCTGCTTCAGCAGCACGAGCTGTATCATTCCCAGTGCCACTTTAGCGATGGGATACTGCAGCGGGACTCGGTAAAATGAGGTCCTGCTTTGGCTTTTGGGCAAATCAAGTCATCTCTCTGAGTCTCATTCCCCCCTACCTCCCATCCCTTTAACACGGGTGGCCAGCGCATGGTGTTTCTGTCCTGCGTAAAGTCTCGTAATGAGCACTTCTCCTGAGCAGACCTCATTTTTTTGTGCTCTGTGTTTCAGGTGAGCCTGATTACGCCACAGTTGACGGCTACAGCTTGATACATCACTAACAACCACAGTAAGTACTCACATTTGATGAAGAAAGGATTTAATATGAGATGCAGCTACACAGAGGAGGGGCAGTGGAGAAAGAAAGGCCACCGGTTAAGCGATGACATTTTGAGGTGACCAACTGGGAGCGATGATCATGTCAGCCCTCCCATCGCTTGTCTGAGCTGGGGCTGTGGTTTAGACGCTGTTGATCTGTTCTGTAGGTTCTCCAGGCAGAAGACACTGGTGGTCTGCCCAGCGTGGCAGAGGTGATGTTTCCAGTTATTCCCAGCCACACAGAGCTGAAGTGCTTCTCCGTTTTCAGAAAGTATTTGAGGACTCTGATAATTATTTGTACATTCAGAAAGCGCCTACTAAAAATCTGTGCCTTTGATCAGCAAACTCCTGGGACGGATATCCCACCTTCACACTCAGGGGAAGAAAAGGAATATAAGCAACGGACCTGGACACAGGGCGATCTTCTGCGTCAGAAGAAGTTTTTGATTTGAAGTTCTTCTGAAGTGTGGCCATCTGGGGGAGGCTGGAGCCTCCCACGCACCAGTTAACTAGAGAAGTCGTATGTGCTGAGGGGAGTGTTGCGACGCTTTGGGCACGCTGGCTTGTGTTCAGGGCATCCGTATCCCACTCAGAGCTCAGGTTACACTTTTGCCCATTTCTAAAGTCTATCATTAATGGTGATTAAACTTGTAATTTAGATTTAATTTCGGTCATGTCTCTCAGGGAGCTTACTTAGAGAAGCACCAACCATGGAGGAGACCATGGGTCTGGCTTAGCTGTAGATGTGTTCCAGGCTTAAGCGCTGATACTGGAAGCCGATTGGCATCTTGCCTGGTGCAGCAGTCCACAGCACAGCTACCTAGCGAGAGGCTGTGCCACCACAAACCTGCTGGGAAGTCCTGCACCCTACAGCGTTGTTAAGGATCTGAAGGAAGTTGGTCAGCTCTTCCAACCGCCTCTCCAATGAGGGGACTGCGGTTTTTTAGGCTCATGGTATAGCTTGTCCCTGGTAGGCTTTGGAGACCCCCATTTGATTAACTTCTGGGAATCCCTGAACTTGGACTCATTCTGGCTATGCACCACTGGAAACAAACCGTTGGCCTGGAGCCATGAAACGCGTTTCCTGACCAGGCCTCCTCAGAGTTCATGCCCTTTTTGTTACCGTATATATGATTATGGCTTTGATTCAGAAGCTCACATGCCTCAGGGCTGCTGGTCTCTCTGAAGTCCCTGTGTGCGGTATTGCTTAACAGCTCCTCAGTGCCTTACGACACTGGACACGGGGACGCAGGACATGGGGACCAGCACACAAGGTAGCTGTCTAAACCTGGTGCCAGGTGACTAACTTCAGAGCAACAGGAGTTGCTAGTTGTATGATGTTCTTCAAGTTGAATCTGCATGACTTCAGTGTGTGCCTAAGCCTACCGGTCCCCGGGGCTTCTACTGTATTTCCTTCTGCGGAGAAGATCACGGTGAGCTTGAACATCTGTCCTGCTGCATTATAATGAACTGTGCAAAGTGCACATGTCAAGCAATCAGTTGTCCTATTTTATTTCTGAAAGACCAAGTGTACAAATATTCTTCTGAAGGAGCCTGCTGTAGTCTTAGTTCTTCAAATGCATATTTTAAAAATAAGTTTTGAGACTCGTGTGCTGGATATGTTTTGTTTTAAGGTTGTCACATTCACTTTCTGTCGGGGCTGGGGCTGGTACACCTTCAAAGCACCCTAGGATGTTCGGATGGTGTGAGTTGCCTCTCCTGGAAGGAAGCCTACAAGAGCATATCCTTGCTCAGCCTTTATTTCAATACTTCCTCAGTACCAAGACATTTGTGGGAGGGAACACAGGAGGGCTGGCATGAGAACAAGTGCTTGTGATTAGCCATGAACTGCAGACCACGTAGGGCTGCTTCCCCTGGAAGAGTATCTACTCTACACTACATTGCATGGTTTCTTTATTGGGATTTTTCAGCTGACTGAGCACAATAGATGGTGTTAGGCTTTTCTGGAGGCGGAGGTCTCCAATGAGGCTGAAACTTGGCTTGCACATTCACTAAATGCACAGAATTCCAAACTAGGGGTGGTGGTTCTGAATACACCAACTGTTCAAATAGACCTAAAGCCAAGCAAACCCTGGCTTGGAAGAGGAGCATCCAGACATGGAGCTACTGGGATGCAAATCTGTGTGCCCACGAGCGCTGAAATGGCTTTTTAGCTTCAGCATCTTCCCTTGCCTGGTGGTCTTCCAAGTGGTGCAGAAGACTTTGGCCTCCTCCCAAGCGCCTGTGAAGGGGCCTAGCCTCCTCCTGGGCCCCTATAGTGAGGCTGGGCTTCCTCCCAGGCATCTATAGAGGTGTCTGGCCTCCTCTCAGACCCCTATAGAAGTGCCTGGCCTCCCTACAGCCCCTGATAACCAGCTGCACAGCTCCTGCCTTCCCTCCCCAGCTTGCCCCCCAGGGAGAGAGAGACAACAAATGCCTTAATAAGACAACTGCTTTAATAAGACAGAATAAAAAGAGGAACAGATAGCAAGTAAATCTTACGTCCCTTCAGATGCTGGGCACACCATCTTCGGGCAGAGTCGGACAGAGCTCTCCCTTTTTGGTCCTGCAAGCCAATTCATAAATTATCACAAGAAAACAGCTGTGTTCATAAAGGAAGTTCACATGAGAACTTCTTGCTGCATTTCCAGCTATAGGCAGGGCCAGGCAGGTGGCGTTAAGGGCCAGTACCAGGCGGGAGCTGCCCGCATGCCCCATTACCATGAGCTGGCTGAGCTCATCCTGCGGACAAGGGGCTTGTGCAGCACAGCCCCGCGCCTGCTGAGGGGATCACCGGCTCCTGAACGTGCAACGGGCTCCCAGCCAGGACCAATGCATCCCCGCCTTGACCCACGTACAGTTTACCCTTCCCACAGATATTATAAATTACAGATTACGTTAATAACATACGGGCTTCTCAAGCCCTAAGTGCAAGGTCCAATAGACTGGACACTGCCTGTTCAAGATCATTAACTCCTCGGCTACAATGTCTTCTGCAAGGTGGGCCTGAGCTCTGCAGGGGCTCGTCTGTCTGGGAACTGGGAGAAGTCACTTCTGCTCCCAGTGGGGCTTGGGCTCGGCTTTGGCTGCAGCTCCCTGGGGACAGCTGGAGACTAAGGTGCTGGAGCGTGTCCAGAGAAGGGCAACGAGGCTGGTGAAGGGTCTGGGGAACAAGCCTTATGAGGAGCGGCTGAGGGAGCTGGGGTTGTTTAGCCTGGAGAAAAGGAGGCTGAGGGGAGACCTCATCGCTCTCTACAACT